CTGAGTTGTATCAAATATTTCATGCATGATCAGTAAATCAGAGATGTGCTCATGTAAGTTCTAAAGCTATTTCCTAAGATGCTTTTCCTCTTTCTGTTTCAGGTGGTAGAGGTTCTTAATCCGTTAGCGCGTGATTTTAAGTCGATCGGAACCATGAAGAAAGAGTTGGCAGAGTTGCAAGAAGATCTAGAACAGGCCCATAGACAGGTAATCTTTTAGGTGAAAGAGGTCACTGAAATTTCTTGCTTCAGTTTTTGTTCGATCATACTTATACGAAAACCGACATGACAAGCTTTGGACTTTGGTATAGGTCCATGTATCAGAAGCAAGGGTAGCTGCTGCTCTGGACAAGCTTGCATACATGGAATCACTGGTGAGTGACAGACTCTTGCAAGAAAAGAGCTCATGTGATTCCAGTATCGAGTGCATCACACTTACTCCGAGCACTTCCTCAGCATCTAAAGATCCTGTCAAAAGTAAGTCAAGTAGAAGAAGTCTAAATGTTTCTGGTCCTGTTCAACCATACCATTCCAGCTTGAAGAACTTCTGGTACCCAGTAGCTTTCTCAAAAGACCTCAAAGATGATACTATGGTATGGATGCCCTTTTCTATCTCAAAGATTATAAATTCTGTAGATTTTAGTATGCTGTACATTTGTTCGACTTCATAATCTGTTCTCCTGAATTCAGATTCCCATCGATTGTTTCGAAGAACCTTGGGTGATTTTTCGAGGAAAAGATGGTAATCCAGGCTGCGTTCGGAACACATGTGCTCATAGGGCATGCCCTCTACATCTTGGATCTGTTAATGAGGGCCGAATCCAGTGCCCTTATCATGGTAAGTGCAAAATATTTCTAATAATAAGTACCAAATCTTTTTCTGAAATGAGTTGATTTCTAGGAAAAATAAAACCATGTCAGATAAAGGCAAGATTCGGAAGCAGTAATGTGAAAAATGCTGCTTAGGTGATTACTCTCTAGCGATATTTATTAATTAAAATTTGGGCTCCCTTCACTTGCACAACCAAATTATTCATGTTGGATAGTCAAAGTCTATGAAGGCTTGCATATTAAATATACTTGTTGATCTGTCCAGTCAAAAACAAAGAAGGAAAGGAATTGCAGTGTCATTGAGATAATTCCATTGGGAAGTCCAAACACACACAAGAAAAGAATAATGATAAAACATAATATTGTTTACCAACAGAGTGAATTTTACAAATGTTTGATATACAGAAAGTATACAGAAAGCGAAAATTACATGCTTATTCAAACCTTTTTTGTTCTACATGATAATCTTTGATTTTGTTTCGCTTATGAAGACTCTCTACTTTGTAATATAAGAGAATACAAAGAGGCAAGACAAGTTGCGTTAACTTATCCAAAAACATTGTGGCTTATTCGACGAGAAAAAACTCCAAATTCGCATGAGCTTAAACTTAATAAAAGCATCAACATTATCAATCATTTGTTGTAGATTATCCTTTGATTATCTGTCAGGCCATGTCTCCTAGAAGTATTGAGATTTTCATATAACTAGTAAAGAGAAGAAATTAAATTTCAGCATTAGGTAGACATATTGGGAATAACTATCAAGCATAAATGGTTGAAACTTTCAGTTGATATAGATCATGCCTTTTGAAGTGCTTTTGTTTGATAGGATGCCTTTCTCATTATTAGATTCTGCTACACGTTCTCTTTTAAAAGCTTAAGTTATATTTTCATTTTACTTCTGACCACCATAGCATCTGCAAATTAGCATGTTGTTTCAAGAGAAAATACATAAAAATACGTAACAATGACTTAGATGTTGTGACATTTTCAGGGTGGGAATACTCAACTGATGGGAAATGTGAGAAAATGCCATCGACCCGCATGCTTAATGTCCGAATTCGGTCATTGCCATGTTTTGAGCATGAAGGGATGATCTGGATCTGGCCTGGCAGTGCGCCTCCAACAGATACACTTCCATCTTTGCAACCTCCTACAGGATTTATTATTCACGCAGAGGTAATACTAAACATAAGTGGCATAAGACAAATGATAAAATACCAAATGGATACTTGAATTGCAGAAATTTTACTGCAAAACGATCATCTAACATTCGGGTCTGCTCATGTTTTCCATGTGGACAGATTGTCATGGAGCTGCCTGTGGAGCATGGCCTACTGCTGGACAATCTTTTAGACCTTGCCCATGCTCCTTTTACTCACACCACCACTTTTGCGAAGGGATGGAATGTTCCAAGGTTTGTGTCAAGACAAATACTGCATTCGGTTTGCTAGTTTCTCTATCTGCACACTGACGAACAAATAATATGATAATATCATGCAACATAGGTAGAAAATAATGAAAGTATAAAACATATTCAAGTTTCTACAGATAATCCCTGTTATATCATCCTAGCATGACCGCTTCTCGTACCAAGTTTGTCCAAAAACTCCAAATTTTGTAAAAGATGGGGGCAACTTAACTTACGTGTGATCCTAGAATTCCATCTTAACAGAGCTAAACCATGCCTTATCAGTACATCAAAGATACACCAATGAAGTGTGATATATGTGATCCTGGAATTCGATCTTAACAGAGCTAAACCATGCCTTATCAATACATCAAAGATACACCAATGAAGTGTGATATGTGGAAGGTGACAAAAAGGATACATGTTGCTTTGTGATGATAATAAAGCTGTTCGAATTTATCAAAGAAATATAAGTATACCAATTGTGAAAAAGCAGATACATTCAATTGTACAAATGTTTTCTTGAAAACCCTAGGCATTATCAAAGGCTATGTGTATCATTTTTCCTAATCGATGACCTATCCTCTTCATGGAAGGATACTTAAAAGCCTACCCCCTGGTTTTCGCATATAGTGTGCTAATATTGCGTGTGAAATTTCTTTTGTTGCTTTTCTTTTCAGCTTGGTGAAGTTTCTCACACCTGCATCAGGCCTTCAAGGATACTGGGATCCTTACCCAATTGACATGGAATTCCGGCCACCCTGCATTGTCCTCTCAACTATCGGGATATCTAAACCTGGAAAACTGGAAGGAAGGAGCACCAGGCAGTGCTCAACACATCTACACCAGCTTCACGTATGCTTACCGTCCTCCAGACAGAAAACAAGATTATTATACAGAATGTCATTGGATTTTGCTCCGTTGCTTAAGCACATACCTTTCATGCATATCTTGTGGAGACACTTTGCAGAAAAGGTGAGTCTTATAACCTATTAAAAAGCTCTGATTCCTTTTAATTTGCTGAATTTTCATTATCTTCATGAACATAAGATAGTGTCGTAGCAGCAGCAAGAGTTGCATATAATTTTTACTAATCATTGAGTATAGTTACTAAGAATGTTCAGAGAATGCACCAAATTTAATGAGTGTAGATGACATTTTCATTGCTAGTAAGAATAAACATGAAGCCATGAAGGCTTTTCTTCTGTTTCAGCAGTGCAAACTAAAGACATGAATGTTCAGGAAAGTGGAGCTGATATCTAGTCTTATATAAAGGTCAATCTACAAAAATCATACTCTTAGCATTCATCTTTATGTAGATTTTATCGATTATCAGTATCATATTTTAGACCTACAACTCGTCTCATTTTGTCATCCTTGGTTCTGTTTCACTTAAAGGTTATATATGATACAACTCCTAGCATTCTAAAGGGTGTGATCTTAAGTTAATCAGTATTTTATGTCATGGTATATTTACCTGATGAAATAGAAGCTCCACATTAGTTTCTTAATTGCTTAAGTTATATATATCAATTAATCGCTTAAATCAACAGAAATAAATATATCACAAGCAGGTTGAAATAAGAAACCCTTCAAAACTGTAATAGCAGGCTAGTATCTTACCCAATACAGTAAGCTTCTACTGTGCTCTTTCTTCTTAATGTGCTGATGGGAGTTTTGCCAACAGGTGTTGAATGAGGACCTAAGGCTGGTCGTTGGCCAGCAAGATCGCATGATCAATGGAGCAAATGTTTGGAACTCGCCGGTCTCGTACGACAAGCTTGGTATAAGATACAGATTATGGAGAGATTCACTTGAGAGAGGAGTTGATCATTTGCCATTTACCAAGCAAGACAATTAGATGCTACTCTGCAAGCAGCACAAGTCACCTTTCAGCTCATGTGTCATTATTCTTTGGGGGATAAGCAGATGGTGATGGAATCCAGTGATCTGCTGAGCTCCTACTGTTGCAAAAATTAACCATGAATTGAAGATTTCACTAGTGAAGGCAAGGTAAGGACGAAAGGAGGATCATTTCTTGTGACACTAAATTGTGCAATAGCCAGAAGAATCTAACATACCTTCTCTTGCTGTATTGATTTCCATGTACAGAGCCAATTCTGCTTTTGCTGCTGCATCATTTTTTTTCCTCTTTTTTTTTTTGAGCTTTACTGAGCTCTTGCATGTGAAACAGAATAATAGTAATAGTAATTATTATTTTTTTTTAATTTCAGAAACCTGTTATGGTGTGTAGATATCAGAGGTCAAAAATTTCTGATTTATAACCCTTGGATTCATGAAAACAGAGGACTAACAGTTCTCAAGAAGTTTTAACCTGCCACAGGATCAGCAAGCAGGAATGCTCACACTGGAAAACAGAAAGCCTCGGGAATCAACAAGTTGCTATTGGTTCTTAAGCCTCATTTTGTTTGCAGGAAAACTGTCAAAAGAATAAACTGTTCAGAAAATAGCAGATAAAGAGTATCAATCTAGTTGACTTCTTTCTTGAGAAGCTTTCAGAACTTGTATTCTGCATGCATAAAGCAAATTTGATATTCCAGAGCACCTGCTTTTCTTGTGGTCTGAATTGCAAATGAAGTAGCTTAACACAATCACCCTGTGGAGTCCAAGATGCATGAGCAGAAGTCAGTTGAGTCATATGTTTCTGCCTCACTCTGAAAAAAGAAAAAAAAATCCAAACAAGGAATTTGGGCAAGCTTAATCTGGAGACCTATTAGACAAAAACTCTTTATCAACCATGGTAAAAATGTCTGAATAGTTTGAACTTCAACATTAATCAACGTTACAATATTCTGACATTAGGAACTGTTGTACAATAGGGTAAACAACTGTACAAGATCAACTATGTCAATGACAGGTGACACAGAAGCTTGTGGCAAGTTATTTGGGTGACATAATAATACATGTTCCAGGGGTATAACATGTATAAACCAGCTTTCTGTACTTTACTGTATACATATTGAGTACATTACAACAAATACAACACAATGTTGTCCCAACTATTTGAGGATACATATGAATACGCTCAATGGGGGATTTCACATAACAAAATGGAAAACACTTTGTCTAAGACTGTCAATGACTAGACATATTTTTACCATTAGACCGTCGTTGAAACTTCGGAGTACTCGCATTCCAATCTTTCAGCCTTTAACCCATTTTCTTTTATCCTGATCCAATAGATCTTCCATTTCTGAAGCAAACTCCTCCTGCATCATATAAAGAGCATGAGATGACAAAAAGAAATAAAAAAGAAATCAACTATCTATTTTTAAAGTCCAAAGAAAGAACAGTGCTACAGTAACACTGCATCATATAGTGCTACAGTAGCACTATACTCTAGCAACTGTAAAAATAAGAAAGAAATCAACTATATTGTAGCACTTGTAGCACTATACTGTAGCACTGTTAAGTATGAAAAAAAAATATATAAAATTGTTTGGTACACCAGGGTGTACCGCTCGGTACTCCCTGATGTACCGCTCGATACTCCTTGATGTACTGTCCGATACACTGGTACCGTACCGTACCAAGCCCGGGTTGAAACACCGGTACGGTATGGTACGACGAACCTTGTTCTGAATAGCCTAAACTCTCGGTAATGACAAACACTGATTGAAGCAATCAAGAACAATGGGCACTTCAGAAAATAAACAGTATTACACTTTTCATCATCACAACTACAATGATTGGCAGAAAATTTGTACCTCTCAGGCTCAATGTCTCTTTTTGCAAGCATGAGTGTCAAGAAAACTGGAACCATTGCCGCAAAAAGATGCTTAAGAGTATGCCCACTGACAATGTGATTTGTCCATTTGTAAATCTGTTTATCTTCAGCTTCTTCTACTTTAGCCAAGAGATAAAATCCTGCATTTTTAACAGTCAATATTGTTCTTTTTCAGAGTAAAAGAAAATCATATTGCCAAGATATGATTGGTAATTATAATTAGCTGCTTGCTCTACAAAACTCATCTTTATGATTTTAAACCAACAATCCATTAAGAAAAAGAACCTCCATTCAAAATATGTGTTTATAAATTTAGTGCTAACTCATGAAAATTTATTTGGAGGCTTCTGTGCTTTGCAATCAAAATAATTCCAAAACTTGCCAAAAGTTAGAAGCATGAGATGAATAAGTCAACTTAGATGTTCTACAAAGAACGATTGTAAAATTTATTTTTCATGTCAAATTACTGATTCATCAAATGGGATGAAGACAGGAGCAAAGCCCTGCAATACTGACATTCTATCATATTGTAAATAACAAATGATGAACCCAAGACCATAAAAAAGGTAATTTCCCCATGAAATTCTTCTATTTTAATAGATCAAATAGATTCTCAACCGATAGGATCGAATCATAGAAAAGCATAATCGGTATCATCATAGAAGATACAGAGCCAAATACTACAAAGAAAGAATTGGATCTTGACATGTGATCAAATTCAAATAGATGCAAGCTGAAAGTAAAGGTGAAACACGGACTAAGGGTATCTAGAGATTAATCATCAGGATCTTACTATCCCTTCTTGGAATTGCAATCTGTCTCATTCTCTTAATTCAGTGTATTTTTGCATCTTAACCATCTGTGGTTGAGATACAACAGAATGCCAAAATTGGGAGTTGGATCTCATTAAGATCAATAGGTTTTGGAGTTCATTCTCATTTACATCATTCAGTTTTGCATACAAAATCAATAAACATAATTATACATTTTTTACTTGAGCTCAAAGCTACAGAAGCACTAAACAAGAAGAAAAAAATCAATGAGTGTATAGCTTTTGGACTTCACAACCATTACCATTGACCTAATAAGATGAATAGTTAATTTGCAAGACTACATTATGTTACGAATGCAGTAGAGAACTTACATGATCCAAAATCTCCCACAACCCATAAAGTAAGCCGACTAATCTAATACAAAATGTCCCACAACCTAAAAGGTAAGCCAACTAATCCAAAACCTATCATTCAGGAACATAACCAGATGGTGCATCACAGATATCCACACCTGTACCATGGTCTAAAACGATCCACATTACAATAGATATGATTTGACCATTGAACTCTTGTGAGGACAGAAAACAGTAACTAATCTACAGATAACAATGCTTGCCAGACAGATAGGAACATAACCAGATGGTGCATCACAGATATCCACACCTGTACCATGGTCTAAAACGATCCACATTACAATAGATATGATTTGACCATTGAACTCTTGTGAGGACAGAAAACAGTAACTAATCTACAGATAACAATGCTTGCCAGACAGATAAAAAGTGGTGCAAGTAAAATGTGTGTGTGTGTGTGTGTGCACACAGAGAGAGAGAGAGAGAGAGAGAGAGAGAGAGAGAGAGAGGGGCACAAAAACAGAGAAAATAAATGGTTAAAAAAGAAACAAGAAAGCCTTGTGTGTGTGTGTGTGTGTGCGTGTGTGTGTGTGTGTGTGTGTGTGTACAGAGAGAGAGAGAGAGAGAGAGAGAGAGAGAGAGAGGCACAAAAACAGAGAAAATAAATGGTTAAAAAAGAAACAAGAAAGCCTTTCATTCTCACGGCCAAAATCAGCTGTGTTTTGTTTTGAGCACCAGCAAGTTACATCTTATAACTAAATTTTAAAAAAATCAAGAATAACTATGACTATCTAATTATATAGGATAGATAAACTTCAGAAAGGTTGTTCATGTGTCTCATGAATTTTGTTTATGACATAAGAACCTTTAAAGCAGCTGGTACACCAAAATATAAAAGATGTATCCTGTAAAGTAACCAAACAAAGGTAAAAAAAACTAAAACAGCTCACTTGAACCATCGAGAAAAAAGGAAAAATCATATTGTGACTAGGTGTAAAGCTAAAACACTGACCTGCTGCCCATAGCCAGTACGAAGAATGTGTATACATTGGTGGAATTAGTATAGCCATTAAAGGTATAATGATGCAAGGAAGGAACTGGATGAGTGCATAAGGGCGTAAATCATCGAAAAATCTGCATTTATCAAACAAAGTTTAATGAAGATGGATGATATTGTTGTGAACTAACTATTGCACAAAGCACAGAAACAAAAGGGAACAAAGGAAAGAAACAAGAAAAATCGCATGCTTGCCTCCAATACAAGATGGTAAGTATACCCGCAATAACAAGGGGTGCAATTGATGTTGTTCCAGTCTTTTCATCAACCCTCTCAATGATGAAGATTGCCATAATAGATGTAAATGCTACAGTCATCTGAGCAAATGAAAAGATGTGACTTTTAATAGTAATGACTAGCTCAAAACATCGAAGTGTAGACTATGCAAAACACAAGAGGAACTAATTGCATACAGTAAGCTTACAAAACATGATATTTTTGCAATAAAAATATGACTACCAATATGACATTCTAAAAAGCATAACAATAATATCAAACAGATGTGCCGATAAAAAAGAAGACTAAATAAGACAAATCTGACAAATTTTTGAAAAATTATGTGTTCACACAGGTTTCAGTCCTTGATGGAAGGTAAGTGAGCTAAGAAACTTATAAAGCTAACTCTAGCTAGATTGGATATCAAATACAGATAGTTGATCTTCCAAAAGAAAAGGCTTAACCTCATCAATTTCAACAACGAGTGAGACTCATCCATGGGAAGAACAAGCAATTAATTGAGATTGTTTATACTAGAATATTGCACTAGCTTATATGAGCAAACAATAAAAAAATACATAAAAATGAACAGATAGAAATAACCAACAGGTAGCCGATCCCAAACAAGCCGAGCATCGTTTGGCTTGAGGTGGTAATAGGAAGAACCAAATGCAACAGCAGTCACACCAAGAAAGAAAATTGACCAACCCCAAATTTCACCTTGCAATCTGTATGAAGAAAAAAGGAAGATGTTCATTGAAAAGCAATCCATTTCTACACAACTGTTCACAGATCAAGCATCACAACATCACCTTAACCTAAAATAGTTTCTATAGAAGCAGAGTGTAAGCCCGACAACGCCAACGAAGAGAAAAGGAATATTTGAAATCACATTTAGTGTATTAGGTATACCTGCAAAAGAATATATGCAATATTAAGCATCAATTCTCCAATGAAACATGGAAATAAAGGTTACAAACTTTACAATCGCACTACAAAAGTGAAGATTACATACCAAACTGGAAGCATGGGACAATATGATAAGATAAACAAACACTGATTTCAATATACAACTCAATGAGTTCTAAATCACTAAGATTTACGAAAGCAATGTGAGAAATGTTTTTTACACTGATCATCAAACACCTGGCTCAGACACCAATCCATACAGCTATAGTTAAGTATAAATTATCCAATGAAACATGGAGAAAAAGTTTACAAACTTTATAATCACACTACAAAAGTAAAGATTACATATAAAACTGGAACTACAGGGACAATATGATAAGATAAACAAAAACCGGCTTTAATATGCAACTCAATGGATTCTAAATCACTAAAATGTCTAAAGCAATTAGAGAAATGTTTTTTACACTCCTTGTCAAACACCTGGCTGAAACACGTAATCCATACAGTGCAGTCAAATTGCCTTCTGAACAAGCATCCCATCCTTTTATGTGATCAAAAGACATTCCAAACATCATCGACCAATCATGGCTGTCTGTGATGTTATCAAATAATTCTTTGTTAAATTTGTGAGTATTACAAGTGAGATTTGGAAGTACTTATCAAGCAATAAAAAGTAAAGTATGCATGTAAAACTAGCCCTACTTGGTTTCCCCTCATTAATCTTTATTCCTTTCTTGAACATTCTTTCAAAATTGACTCTTTCATATAGAACTTCTCTTCATGCTCAGCTAAAGTTGATGTACAATGTGTCAAAGAAAAGGAAATAACAAATCCTACTAGACAAACATACTAAAAGTTGTTAGAACCTAATATAAATTCAGCCCTTCCCTAAAAGCTTAGGCATAAAAATACTTATCAGAGTATTAAAGCAGGGCAAGAGTACAAAACATGTATATGCTCCTCTAATTCATCTGATGGTTAATCAAATCAGTATTTGTGCAATGTCCTTCCCCCTATTTGGCTTGCACAATGTCCTTAGGTATTGTTCATGTGTCAAGCTTACACGTGAGAGGGAACATTAGACTTAATAAATATATTGGGCCCTTTCTTATTAGCCTAAGTTGCTATTTATCTACATTATAGCAAATTTTACTCTCCTACACACTTAAACTTAAATAACAAGACAGATCTCATCCGAATAAGACATAGGTTGAATCAATTTTTCCTTATCAACCAAATAATACCCATCAAAATTTGACTTGCGTTGCCTAAGCGTTATCTAGACCACCTGTAAATCCAGACGCCGTGCTTAAAGCAATTATATATGAAACACTCATGAGCCAAAATAATCGAAATAAAGCAGTCAGATGCAACATTTTATCGTAAAAATTGCTTCCTCGGCAACAAGATAAGAATTCATCTAGTGAACAAATGAAAACAAGAATACTAGTAGTTGGAAATCCCAGTGCTAGAAAAGATTTCAATATGCAGAAGAGCACGAAACCCTCCTGAATTGCGACAAAAACATCGAATCAAACAGGATTGGAAACCCTAAGGCGGATACGGCGTTCACCAAGGAACAACTCGCGTTGGTCGGCGAAATTGTGGTACTCCTCCGATTGCGGGATCGCCGGGGTGACGACCATCAACACGACGAAGATCAGGACGGCCGCTCCCCAAGCGCACAATTGCTTCCCCCTCTCCATAGGCTCGTCCTTCTCCGTCTCGCTGCGCTGGGACGACTTCGACTACCGCGTAGGCCTAATTATCCCCGCTGGAACGGTCACTAATCGGTCAAGTATAAGACAAAAATGGGACTTGAGGAAACTTATATCATCCGTACGATTACGGGTGAAAATACATCAGATTAGATTCAACTTAGACTGAGATCGGCTGACACCGGAAAGCACTCCCCGTCACGCCCGGCCCCGCCCCGACATCCCTAGCGTGACATCCCCTTAGGCGATATAACGGATCGGATTGAATCCGTTACCGGATCCAAATCCTGGAATCCGCAATACAAACGGATCCCTTGTGATGTTATTACCGTTGGGGTAATCGGACAACAACACGAAGGACTTCGCTTACGTATGTCGCACTCACGAAGATAGCAACACCAATCTAAAAGAGATCTTCTTCTTCGTTACGATGTCAAAACCATAAGCCCGTAGAGAAACCCAAGAAACCGAGTCCACCATGATGGCCCCGAGTGCAAGAACAACAAGAACAAGAAACACCACCATCGCCGCCTCCTCCTCCTTTGTTCTACCTTTGCTTCTCGTTCTTGTCGGGGTTTCGACGGTGAGAACTGCGGCACCTGTTAAAGGAAGAGGGGAATGGCGACTTCTCCGCGCGAGCATCGGCATCTCCGCGATGCACATGCAGCTCCTCCCCGACGACACGGTGGTGATCTTTGACCGCACCGATTTTGGCCGCTCCAACATCTCCCTTCCCGGCGGCAGATGCCGCTTCGACTCTTACGACCTCGCCCTTACCACTGACTGCACCGCCCACTCTGTCCTCCTCCTCCTCCCCTCCGCAGCTGTCCGCCCCCTCAGTCTCCTCACCGACACCTGGTGCTCCTCTGGCGCCCTCCTTCCCAATGGCTCCCTCCTCCAGACTGGCGGCTTCAACGACGGCGACCGTGTCATCCGCCTTTTCTCCCCGTCGCGTGGCGGCCGCTCCGACTGGGTGGAACGGCCCTTCTATCTCAGCGTCCGCAGATGGTACGCGTCCAACCAGCTCCTACCAGACGGCCGCGTCATCATCCTCGGCGGCCGCCGCCAGTTCTCCTACGAGTTCTTCCCCCGCGAGTTAGCCGGCAGCAGAACAGTCTTTCAGTTCCCGTTCTTGTTGGACACTTGGAACCGCGAGACCGAGAACAACCTGTACCCGTTCCTCCACCTCCTCCCGGACGGGACCCTCTTCGTTTTCGCCAACGACCGTGCCGTCGTCCTTGACGCAATCCGCCATCGCGTTCTTCGACGCCTACCGCCCGTCCCTGGCGGCCCACGCAGCTACCCAAGCTCTGGCTCCTCCGTCCTCCTGCCCCTCCGCCCCGGCGCCGCCCCCGAGGTCCTCGTCTGCGGTGGCACACCGTGGGGATCCTACCAGGCCGCGCTCAACGGCACCTTCCTTCCGGCACTCCGCACGTGCGCCCGTATCAAGCCGGCCGACTCGGACCCCGCCTGGTCCTTAGAGGATATGCCCCTCCCGCGCGTCATGGGCGACATGCTCCTCCTCCCCACCTGCGACGTCCTCATCGTCAACGGCGCCGCCGCCGGCACCGCCGGGTGGGAGCTAGCGCGCAACCCCGTGACAAGACCGGTCCTCTACCACCCGGACCGACCTGCAGGGAGACGATTCGCGGTACTGAAACGTTCGCGGATCCCGCGGATGTACCACTCGACGGCGATCCTGGACACGTACGGGCGGGTGCTCGTCGGGGGGAGCAACCCGCAGGCGCACTACGCCTTCGCCAACGTGATGTACCCGACAGAGCTGAGCCTTGAGGCATTCCACCCACCGTACCTGGCGGCCCGGACTCGTCCGCGCATGGCGGCTGCGCCGCGGGAAGTGGGCTACGGCGAGAGGGTAGCGCTGAGGTTCGAGGCGGCGGGGCACTACGGAGCGTGGGAGGAGTTGGTGGTAGAGGTGGTAGTGGTGGCGCCGGCGTTTGCGACGCACGCAGTGGGGATGAACCAGCGAGCGGTGATGCTGGAGGCATCGCGGGCGGTCTGGGCGTGGGGGAACTTCGGGTACGTGGCCGAGGTGGTGGCCCCGCCTTCGCCGAAGGTGGCGCCGCCCGGGTACTACCTCTGGTTCGTGGTGCATGCCGGGGTGCCGAGCAACGGCGTTTGGGTCAGAATCCGGTAGTCCAATCTTTTCTTGTGTGCTGCGTTGAGTTCGGAGAGCCCAAACTACAGAATCAATTGAAAAACCTTATTTTAATACTTTCGAAAAATATTAAAAATGTAGAGATCATATTTTGGAAACTGAGATTGGGTAGAGATATCAATTTTTTTTTTTTTGGAGTTGAAATGTCATAAAAATTCGAGGAGGACGAGCGTTAATGTGATAACAGTTGAGACCGAAGTTTGCTTTGCTTGCATGCATTCTCTTCGTATTTTGCAGACGGTAGCAGAATAGACCTCCTCAATATGCCTGCAAACCATCACCAATTTCCCTGCTGGATTCAACACAGGTAAGGATGAAGGTGAGTTGTGAGGCAGTTATGAGCAAGCACCAATTCAGTTTACCAATCTTCAAGACCTAACGCTGCACCTCAGAACATATTAATAATAAACAGATTCGATGCACCTCGGGTTGTGTAGTTCAACATCTCACAAAGCAGGATTGTCCAATGCAAGACTTTGCAGATAAATCAGCAGAGAACTAGTCCATCCAACAATGTTCTGGAGTCAGAGAACTCGTCCTCCGGTAGCAGTGGACATGGATAGTTCCACAGAGTCCATGCTTAGCATCTCTTTCAAGATCTTAATTGTCCTACGGGATGCATTAATTTTGAGCTGTAACTACTAAAGGCAAAGGAGCAAATTGTCTCCACATTTTTACGGAAAGGAAGAAACAAACCATCTATTATTTAAGTTGGTCCAGAAAGATAAAAAGGAAAAGAAAAGATGCAGGCATGATAACACAATTGATCAAACTCCACGTTTTAACATGCTGCTGATTACTAGTATAGCTTCATACACAGACAAAAAAGTCATAAACCATTGCCAGATGATGGACCCAGCATTTTTCTGCTGGAACTATTCATGTATCGGTGGTAAAGACATCTAAGCTCAAATCACACTAGAAGTGAAAAGCCAAAATGAGCATGTTTTAAGATATTGTGATCTTTAAAGATCAGAGTTAAAGCTCCACTATTCAATGATTATTAGCATGGTTAATGATGCTTTTAGTTCACTGTTGAACATCTGATGCAATATCCAATTGGTAGATGCTCATGCTCTATAACTCATTGGTTGATCTTAGCTCTTCCAAAGAAGAGCAGCCCATATGATTACCCATTTTCATAAGTTCCTCTCTTGCTAGTAATTCAAGTTATACTATAATGAAAAGTTTCTCTTGCATTGCTTCACTTTATCTCTAATTTTCGAAATAAATATGATGTAAAAAAAAAATTTTGCATGTTACTTTGATATTGTAGGATCTGCCTTACGAAGGCCTAAGAACAATGTATACAAGGGAACTTTACAATATGCATCAAACACCTACAGTTTAAATCTTGCAATTTAATCCAACAGCTACCTTGAGAAATCAAACGTTCTAGTTAGATGGTTACCCCAATGGTATTAAACTTCTTGTTAGTAAACTTAATACAAACTAAGAGATATAATGCACCAAATTAGTTTCCACCTCAATAGTAATTCTTTTATTATTACAACTAAAATCTGGAATTGAACCAAGTTTCAGTGACCACATTCCAAATGAAATCAATTTTACATCTCGACACCTACAGCATTGAGGAAGATTATAATATTAAAATAAATTTAATATAAGCAAATAATCTGAATCAACGCTATTTGTTACTAACATGCCTTGTATGATCAGGACTTTTGGAGGATTTGTTCCATTCTCATAATGGGTTATTTATACAACCAAGAGGAGAACCTCATTTCTGCAATAGATCTTGTAATCTGCCCCTTGTCTAAACTCTTCCCATGTACAAGTTTATCTTGGAAGGTTGCTTTATAATTGCATGAATTCAAACTAAAACCAAGAGATGAAGATTTGTACCTAGCTGAAGTTTATGTAGTCTCTCAAGAAAGTTTTCCTCCTCCCTAATTTTTTGCATCTCTAAGAACTTGGTACTCATCATTAGCAAGCTATTGTTCAGGTGGCAGTTGATAGTGAAATCTCATCAAATCATCCATTTGGACCTTCTCAATTTTGGGCGGTCTCCTTTAGCCATCAAGCCTATTGTTTATTTCCACATCTGCACATAACAAAAAGTCACCATAAATATAGACAAAAAAATAACTTCCAATTACAAGTTTCGAGTGAGGCCCAAAGTCATTACAAATATGTCAGAACCAGACTAATCAAGTGAGATTCAGAGGCATTGCAAATTCCTATTTTTCCAATGAATATAGAATGATTTTAGTGTTCACTGGAATTACTAAGTATGAGAAAATGGCATTGTCCGCCACTATATCCTCAAAAAGGATGTAAAAACTCAGAAGGGAGATGTTAAGAACTAAGTTTGATGGACACATCAGATATTTGTGGAAAAAGGGTCAAAATAGTAAGTTCTGTCTATTACTTTGAACCTAGGTCACTGATAGCCACCACTTTCTGATGGATAATGAGTTGGATAATCATGACAAGGATGCTCATGATGTAAGCACTGTGTGAGCAAGAATTATGAAAAATAAACTAGAAAAAAAGGCAAAAGCAATAGATGGCATAGGAAGACATCTCCAGGATGAACAGCACTTGTGACTAAAAGAGTACCTACACCAATTAGACTAAAAATATAACATGGTCCAGAATGTTGCTGCTCAATCAAAGCCTATCCAAACAACAGAGTTCAAGAGGCTTAGAGAACTACATTCTTATTTTTGCAGCAGGTTTGCTGTACCGCCCGAGTCAATATGGTACGGATGGTACATATCGGTCCGAGTCGCCATCGAGACAGCTCACCTGAGTCCCCTTCGGCATGCCACAGCATACCATATGTCGGTACACGGTACAGACCAATATGTATCATGTCGACAAATCTCCAAGATGGACCTGGTATCCGAAATGGCCAACAATCATCCAAAGTTCACCATTTGAATCAGATGTATTTGACCTGCAAGTTGGCTTCTTGACTTTCAAAACAAAGCATAGAAACAAAAAGATCATATGCAGAAACCTCCACAGTGGTACCTACACCAATTACTCTAACAAATCTAACATGGAGTAGAATGTCACAGCTTACTCAAAGCCTATCCAAACAAAAGAGTTTTAAGAGGCACAGAGAACTGCAATCTTGTTTTTGCCAACAGTCATCCAAAGTTCACCGTCAAAATTAGATGACTTTGACCCGCAAATTAGCTTAACTTTCAAACCGAAGGATACAAACAAAAAGAAAATATGAAGAAACCTCCAAAATGGTACCCACACCAATCACTCTAACAAATCTAACATGGAGTAGAATGTGGCAGCTTACTCAAAGCCTATCCAAACAAAAGAGCTTTAAGAGGCATAGAGAACTGCATCCTTATTTTTGCCAACAATCATCCAAAGTTCACCATCTAAATTAGATGACTTTGACCTGCAAGTTGGCTTCATATTTTTTTCCAAGAAAAGAATAGAAACAGAAAGAAAATAAAGGCTGCACAAGAGTTAAATATGTAAGTCCTAAAACCATGAAGTTTAAATTAAAGTACATTTTCAACAAGATTGACCATGGCTTCTCAATCACATATTTACTTGTTAATCAATAGGGTCCTCAACCTGCATCATCAGCCGCTTCTCTGCAACCTGCAGCACCAGTTTAATTAGGGGGATCATTCGCAGCACGAAGTAAATCATTCTAAATAAAATCTAATTAATGCGTAAATGTAGAAGAGCAGATTCAACCCAAAAAGGTCGGAGACCAAATTTACCACCGCAACCAAAAGGCGCCGCCTCCGAGACGACGAGATTCGAGGGAATCAACCTTGAAAAACCCTACACCAACGGATTGATGAAGGCTTACATGTTTTCGTGGTGGAATTGAATCGGAGATCAGGATTTCTTGGAACGACGGCTTCCCTCCGCCCGGAGTGCAACGCTCGCATCTCATCCTCACCCTGCGCGATAAGTTGGGATTGCATAGGCTTGCGTGCTTGCTGTGTCATATATAACGATGTAACTATATCATCTCATCCGTCCGTCTCCTTTCCCTCATCTTAAATCTGAGCCATCCACTTACAGGTGAGAGGAGCGAGGCGTGATGGACGGAGCTAAGATGAGGAAATTGATCATTGAGATGAGTGCAACCAGCGATCGACGGACGATCCGAGACGATCGATAGTGATGGACGGACGGATGGACGTCATCAGTCGTTAGAAGGATCATTCAAGTATATAGTGGATTTTATGTTGGTGTTCTTAAGTCAACCAAATTAAACTATTTTGACGAGAATAATTCAAACCCTTATTTAACTATTGCATGCTATGGTAGGTTAAATCATTAATCATCAAGTTAATAAAATAAAAAGGAATAATCCTCTCCCATTCTCTTTCCCAATTATTTCAATAATCCATCATGTTGGATTAAATCGTAAGAAACACAAAAAAATTATTAGTCTTAAATCTTTTCCCCTAAACTCCCGAGAAAATTATAATGTTCGAACCTCATATTAAAATAACCTTTAGGAGTTCTTTAACATTTCTCAATAAACTTTAACGATTCAAATTATCATAATTTTAATTTTTGATGAAATATGAGTGAGGATTTTGTTAGTGAATCCAATATTCGGAGGAAAAATTCGTACTTAAATCTATAGGACTCTGTGATAAGATAATGAAAGAACCGGTTCCTTTCTTATCTTAGTTTCTAACTAAATTAAATATATGATAACGTATTAGATTTGAGATCGGGATATATTCATATTTATCTTTTTTATTAAGATTTAAATATTTATCTTTAACGAAGAAAAAGATATAAATGATTTGTAATTATTAAATCAGTTTTTGATCATAAGTGAAAGTAGATCCAAACTTTCGTCTTTTTAACTCAAATTCAAGTCAAACTTTTTTTATTATCTAAATCTTAAAAAATTATGTTGGGTATTCCCGATAGTATCCTTCTAATGCTTAAGTCAATAAGTAAATCTAAAAGGTCAAATATAACAATATATGATACTATTCTTCAGCATAACTACTACTACCATTCAAGGTGTTATGTTCTAACACACGATGTAAATTGAACAATGGGGTAACTAATTAGCTGGAGAGGGTGGTGCTACGAGGTGTTAGTGTGCCTACCACATGTGGTCATTTGGCATTGGGGTGCCATCCACAAGGCTCGAGTTTTAGCCACATGGCATTGTGGTGATGCAGAGGTGTGGCTTTGGCATGTCAGCCACATGATAGTACTACGTCGGATGCATGGAGCCAAGGTATCGATTGCCTAAACCTAAGGTGTCTATCATGTGGTGTCAATGCATTGGCTAAGTGGTGACGACATGTCAACCACATGGTAGCAAATGTCGGACGCAAGGAATCAATGCATTGCCTATTTGGGCTTGGTGTGTCAATAATGTGGACTTGATGCGTCAGCCATATAAAGTCGATATATCAGCTACATTATTTTACTCATAACACTCCCACTAAAGAGATTTCTATGGTCAATGGATGCTATATGAGGTGATGCTTGATGGGCCACCAAGGCCACATGCAGTGGAGCTCGATGGGTTGATAAGGTCGCACATGGTGCACTCGATGGGCATATAAGGCCATGGGCGGTGGAGCTCGATGGGTTGATAATGTCGCACATGGTGCACTCGATGGGCATATAAGGCCATGGGCGGTGGAGCTCGATGGGCCGACAAGACCGTACGCGATTGCATGGTCACAAGATGTGGGTGTTCCCTCCCTTGGTAGCTGCACAAATCCTAGCATGTTCTAATGCCTAATCACACATCGTAATAACCTACGATTGAATTGATATGGCAGAATCCAAAGTCGTCATATGGTGATTGTATAGATCATGATAGATTTGATGATATCATAATGATGACGACCTGAATAACCTCTTGATCATTTAGATTATGTCATGTGCCCCTTTGTGACCTCGATCAAGCCACTTTATCTTCCCTTTTCAATGTGTTCGAGAGTTGAGTGGACAACTAAGGAAGCATTGCTCTTAGCTCCTATAAATAGTGAGTTGATCGACACTTGGCTTTCGACTTCCGAATGCAAAAGGTTTGTGATATTATCCTTTTTAACTTTCTCCTCTAGTTCGATGGACTACCTACAATTTAGACCTCCTTAGCCAAGACATTTGGCTTTCGACTTCCGAATGCAAAAGGTTTGTGATATTATCCTTTTTAACTTTCTCCTCTAGTTCGATGGACTTGAATAAATCATCAATTTTGTTACCACCCTTTATGTAAGTTTTATCCTCAAAAGGAGTCGAGTCGTCCACGCTAATGGAGGATGCCCCTTTGAAAACGAATCCATCGATTGGTGTGGCTCCATCACCTGTAAGCAAAGTCTTTCAATTCGGGCTCAAAATTAGCCTCCAACCTAGATATCATCTGAAAGGTTTAATACATTTTGATCGAGTTCGAGCTAATGTATGCTCGACTAAATTATTGACCTTATACGTCGTGTCACTAGGTTGCACAGATGCCTATACTTCTTGTTTCATCCATAATATTAACTTTGATCAAATTGAATCCTCGTTTACATAGCACTAAAATGATGGATAACCTCATAAACAAGGAGAATTAATCATGTTAGATGAAAATTGAAATAGAAACTAAGAAATTAAAGGTGTCATAAGACATAAATTTAGCTTAAATTAATGTCCAATCTCATTTACGTTAGTATTAATCAAACTCACATAATTAAAATTTTAACACAATTTTAGGGATTGTTAGATTAGTAAAATACATTAATCATGAGAGCCTCTACAAGAAAATTTTTTTTGGGTACCTTAGTTTCATACTATGGCAAAAAAATAAATATGTTTTTGTTTATACAGCATAGACTGTACAACGTTCCTTTCTTTCTGTCGTATAGCTCAGAATACTCTTGCAAAATAGGCCAACAAATCACTAGATTCTTAAACCATTTATGACTGATTATTATGTATCTCCAATTTCTCTTTAAATAACATAAATTGTAGAAAGTATGATCCATTAGAGCATTGTAGAAGGCACAGAAAGACACAAGAGGGGATAAATCCATTAAATAGCTAACAAAAGATGACATTTGATAGGGATAAAAATGACGATCAGGTGTGCCACGACATCAGCCACCCCTAAACGGCACACTGCCCCAGGGAGCGAGCATTAACACCGAGTTAATGTGCGCCCACGCCCATCGTACCCAGACGACCTTATCGCCTAACCCCGCACGACTGGCCGTGGCAGGGGAAGGCGTCGCCTGAAGCTCTCCATACCCTGCGGCACCCCGGCCTTCCCCGCAACGCCCACGACAACGACAGAGCCATACCCTGCGGCACCCTGGCCTTCCCCGCAACGCCCACGACAACGACAGACGCCGTCAGAGGTACGACCCTGCTCCGACAGAATGGCGCATCAGGTAACGTCAAACCTACCTATAAATACCCCCGGGCTCCAAACGGAGAAGGGGGAAGCACTTCTTCATCTAAAACTTCACTCCACATCACTAACTTGATCGTCGGAGGGGTCGGGCCGAGCCACCGACCCGACCTGTGTGCAGGTACTCGACCGAAGTCGTCTCTACCCGGCGTTGCGGCAAAGATTTTCTTCCAACCAGACCCCCGCAACCGGCCACCGCAAGATCCCGAAGGACACAGCGCCTGATCCCCACCATTCGGACCCCCGAACCAGCCGCGTCGGCCCCGAGGCCACGACTAAAAATGTTGTTTACACCAACAGATTGGCGCTAGAAGGAGGGCCCCGAATATTGAGCGATCAGCAAACCCACTCTGACGAACCCGCGACCGTCAGGTTGCACTCGGTCAGCACTCCAGAGGAACACCCCCTGCGCGACGAAACCCGAGACGAGCATCCCGTCGCGACGTCGGAGCGCTATTGGCGGTTGTTCAATGACCCGGGTTTGTCGCCACCCGACGGTGCCCCCGCCAGCCCGTCGCCCGTCTCGCCCGAGGCCTTTCACGACATCGCTCACCAACTCCGAGCCTTGACGGGCGTGATCCAAGCCATCATTCCGCTTGTTTCTCATCCAACACCCCCACATATGACCCAACCCCTACAACAACAGGAGCCCGTCACCCGGATTCACGCGCCGCCCCCCGAGCCCCCCACGTCGCCTCGAAGCCGGTTGGCCCGACCCGAGAATCAAGGAACGGAGGATTCGATGATCCGTCCGGCCCCCGAGGCACTGTCTATGGACTCAACAGAGGCCATGCGAGCCCAGCTGCGCCTCGTTAACCGGCGTCTAGATGAGGTACAACAGGAGGTTCACGGATCAAAGGGAGAACCTGGGGCAGACAGACATCAAGGGTCCCCGTTCGCCCCCGAGATACAAGATCAGGCGATTCCACCCCATTTCCAGCTCCCTTCGCTGGACGCATACGATGGCACAGCTGACCTAGCGGACCACGTAGCCGTTTTTCACGCCCAGATGGCGCTATACGGAACCTCTGACGCCTTGATGTGCAGGGCATTCCCGACAACTCTGCGGGGGCCGGTCCACGAATGGTATTGCAGCCTGAAGACCGGGACCATCACCTCCTTCGACCAGCTGGCCAGGGATTTCGAGCTCAACTTCCTAGCTTACGCTCGACCGAAGTCGTCCGCGGCGCTGCTCCTCGGGCTCAACCAGAGGGAGGACGAGCCACTCTCCCATTTTGTGAACCGCTTTATGACGCAAATTCGAGGGCTGTCGGATGCTCACCCCTCTCTATTGATGCAGGCTTTCATGATGGGCCTGCGGCCTACCAGGTTCTTTTGGTCCCTCGTGGAGCGACCCCCCACTGCAGCACCTGAGATGCTGCAGCGAGCAAGCCAATTCATCGCTGCAGAAACATGGATGGCTAGGAGGCGTGAGGAACACAAGAGGGTCAATTGGGAGCAACCCCGACCGCAATAGCCCACCGCGTCCCGGCGAAGGTTGGACCGACCCGACCTGCCGACACCAAGGC